ATAATTTACAACCCACCCCATAAATGCTCAATTCTCTTTACGGTTCTTCTCAACCATTCAAGTTTTCACTTTTTTTTTTTACTAGATCTTTATTGAGTTCAAAAAAACACTGAAATAATTAACGTTATTTGGCACTAAGGGATGAACTTTGAACTGAATTCTTAATTGAAATTGGAGTCGCAAAAATGCTTAACAATCAATAATTCTCAATCGTCTTTCCACCACAGTTCGGCAATGTAAATAGTGATTAATTCAAACTTACTTCAGCGCACTCCCTCTCCTCACCTAATAAAAAAAATGCACTTCTATCGGTGATTTTCCAAAGTTCATTCATGCTGAGCTACTGGCGTCTAGAATCCCTAAAGTGCAGCGAAAGACTATTACTAATAATGTGCCCAGAAATTTTGAACACCATTTTAGTTCGACATTACAACCGTCTGTTTGAAAGACTATAATTTTTATATTCGTAGACTGCGTTATCAATTGCTGTCCCTAATTGCAAAGTTTCTGTACGGTCTACAAAACTTAACCAACCAACCGTGAATGAATAAAGGTTTTTTTCAGTTTTTTATGATTTTTTTTTACATTATCTTCTACTCCTTCTTGGATTTCTTCAACCACATTTAATACGCAGCAAAAGATTCACCAAACATATACTATGAGAACATTCATAAAACTCATAGCACTTAGTAATTGAAAGCAAAAAAAAAGTCACATTATTATAATTTGTTGTTGACTTTGAATTTGTGTAAAATTTTAAAAGGATCTCTCTTTACTATATTATAACAGCAAACAAATCTAAAAATTAACACTGTATTATGAAAAATAAAGGAAAAAACAAATGCAGAAAATTATAATTTTCACTTTTAGGTCATTTCAAAATAACAGCTACTGCAGACTTTCCCATTGTCAAAATAAATGTGAACAAAGTAAGCAATGTGAAGACTAATGTTCATTAAAAAAATAACTTTCTCACAGGTACTTTTGCGAATTAAAAAAAAAAAGACAAGTAAGGAATTTTATATGTTAGACAATCAACATTACTGGTTAGCTTCTTATCTGATTTCCTCATCATTTGGCTCTGATAAACAGGGTTCTAAAATTACTGCACAAAAAGTGTGGACTTAAATGCTCCCCTCTGAACTAACAGTTTATGCAACAGCAATTTTTTTTTTTTTTTTTT